TAGTATGCCTATTGATATATAGTGAACAGAAATAGTCTCTCTCTGCCATAATAAATCTGTTGCTGTGTACTACGGTTGGCAATTGCGTACCTAATCTATGCATAAAGACATTATCAGTAACTGCTTTTGCTATTCTTTCATGAAGAATGGACAAATTTAAGTCTGTGATATGCTCAGGAAGTTTTTGAAGTGAATTTTTCCCATTAATGCTAATTATAACCATTAGCAATGGTTATGTGCAATATTTTGAATCGAACTGGGTAAAGTTCAGATTTATCAGTTCTATTTTGTCTTATGTTAGACTAGTGATGGCAAACCTTTTGGAGACCGAGTGCCCAAACTGCAACCCAAAACCCACTTATTTATCGCCTGGTACCAGGTAGGCGTGGCCCACTGGGTGGGCATGGCTGTGGTGGTCATGGCAAACTGGGTGGGTATGGCCAAGGTGGACGTGGTCACCTCAATGTTGCTCGTGGGGAGGGACATCTGTGGGGGCCAGGCAGGGTTGGGGGATATCCAGGGGGTCTCTGGCAGGTGGGGCAGTGGGCAGGAGGCTCATCCTGCGTGGTGAGGTGAGGCAAGGTGAGGCAGTGTGGGGTGCCATTGTCGCAAGGCAAGGCAGGGGCCAGGACGGCTGCTCCCTGACATTGTCAGCCCCTGCACACAGAGGCCAGTGAGCACATGGGGGCCGACAGTGTCTGTCAACAGTCACAGCCTACCAGCCCCTTGATCGGCACACTCTGGGGCTCCACAGCCACCACCAGCAATTCAGAGAAGCCACCTTTGAGTTGGATGGCCAGCCGACAGCTGAGGAGGCGATGCAATGGGTCGTGCCCGGGAAAAGGAAAGCATGCGAGGCCGGAAGGGATGAGGCGAGGGGAAGGGAAACCAGTCATGCTGGGATGCATCCGGCCACATGGGAGCTCAGCAAGTTAGTGGGTGGCTGGTTGAAGAGGGATGGTTGCCATCTCTGGGGCATGGCACGCATGCCCACAGAGAGGCTCTGAGTGCCGTCTCTGGCACGCATGCCATAGGTTCGCCACCACTGTGTTAGACTGTTGAGATTAACCTGCCAGAGAACATAATAAAGATATAAAAAACGTGTTAAATTATGTATTAAAAAGTTAAGCTACTAAAAAGTATATAGGAAATCATAAGTGTTAGAGAAATTTACACATTAAACTTCCATATGGTAAACTGGATAAATGTGGATTTAAAAAAGGAGCCGATTAAAAATTCATAGATCCAGATGTTATTTTTAAGATAATCCTTGTAATATTTAATTTTGAAAGAGAAATCCATCCTCACATTTCATAACTTGATCTATTAGTTTCTTTCCAAATAGGTATGAGGGTGGGGTTTTTTTGGTGTTTTTTTGTTTGTTTGTTTGTTTGTTTGGCTAAAACAAGTAACAGTTCTTTCAAGGAACACAAACCCTTTCCTCATTTTCATAAATATTAGCTGTATTTTCCTCATAGCATTTCAATACTAAGTAGGAGTGATACCCAATAACTTCTGATATGCTGAAATGCTGCTTGTACAGCAGAGAATCCTTAGAAATGATGAATATATCTACCCAAGGTATTACTCTTCCAGACTGAGGGATTCACAAGCAATAAAAAAAACAATACTAGAACACAAAAAGACTCTGTGTTTATTAGAAGTCTCTGCTTTATCTGAGTAGGCGCCTCTGTTAATGAACTTGAACAATGAATGTCTCCATTTACAGTATGTGCCAAAAGACCCTAAAATAAATTTAATGTACTCCAGGCATAACTAGAACCCTCTATTATTTAACACAGTTGTGTGATTTTGGCACATGGCATGAGATCTGGGGCAATGAATAGGACATTGACTTGCTGCATTTATACATATATGAAGAAGACCTTCTCTTGACGCTTCCATTTTTCTGTCATCCTGAGATCAGGATGTTAATTTCATAGATAAATCAGAAAGAGACTAAGAATTAAGTATTTTTTTAAAAAGGAAATTAAAACAATCAAATCTTTCACAATTTATGTGCAAATATTATTATAAACCTGGTTAATTAACAAATCTTGTTGAATCAATGAGACCGAGTACTGAACAACAATGCAAATGTACCACTATATGAAATATTTTTTTAAATTTAATTTTAATCACAAAAACATGACTTCTCTAAATGTTAATCAGAAATGTTTTGTTGAGGCTTGGGAGTAAAATAAAAAAAGGAAAATTTCTTCATACTCACCCACCCTTTGTTCCCAAAGTTATCTAGGATTCTTCATGTGTTTTCTTTATAACAAAAGATGTGCAGAATATGGTCAGGAATGCAATTAGTGTCTGCCTTAGCAACAGGGAGCAGATCCTGACTGAACTTGCAAGAGCTGAACCAGGATTGAGCCTGATTAGTATTTGCCTGATAGAATATCAGAAAACCTCTGAAAATTTGACTGGGAAGTCTTAAAAAAACATTCCAGAAGAAGGAAACAGAAACGATGCTGCTAGCAGTTAAGAAAGCAGTCAAGGTGATACATGTTGCTTTAAGCCTCTATGGTAGTAATAAGAACAATAAAGTGAAACTATTTTTACACCCTTATTGCATCTGCGATATAACAGTCAGAAACACAACTTAGCTAAGCCCAGACTCTGTTAGCAAAAGCTTGGCCAGAAGGTAGGTCAATTAAGCATATTAATATGACTCGTGTTTGCTCTGAGCTGCAATCTGGATCCTTGTTAACTTGAGGCTGTGGCTCTCAAGAGTGGACAGGTCTGAAGCCATCTCTGCCACCTGTAAACTTAATCGTTGCTCACCTGGTTGATTCAAGCTACGGGGAGGGGACAAAGATCTGAGTCTGGGAAGCAGAGTTTTAAGTTAAAGACATTTCTTTGGCTGTTTCTGTCACGATGTCAACACTGTAAACATTGGATGTTCCCGCTCTGACAACTGATGAAAATGCAGCCATTTTCTCTTTGCTTTTAGCATGCTTTTTCTTGTATTTAGAAATTAGGTGTGTGGGGGGGAGGAAGTTGGGCTAAATGCTCAAGATCAGCTAGCCATAATTATAATGCTGCTTTGTGGAAACCCAGAGATGAACTGATAATGTTTTGGTGGGCTGAGACGCCGGGGAGAAAGCCTGCATTTTAGGCTAATTGGAGAATGAGATTTTTGACAGCATACTGGAGGTGGGAATTGCACTTTGTTACTTTATATTTGGGGGAAGGGAATTTAGTTTTGGGGTTCAACTATGTAGTGCTGATACTTTGTTTCCTGGATAAAATGTTCTTTGAGGAAGAATTTTGCCTTGAACTTCTTTTGATGGGTTTCATCTATCGGAACCATGACATTAACCCAAAAACTACCTTTCTAACCACCTTGGAGTCCTGAGCTCCAGTCAGCTTCCCTATGTTGAGGGATAGGCTGATAAAAACTCGGGGAAGATTTCAGCATAGAGAAGGACGAAGCACCTGTAACCAGCATCCCGGCCATGGCTGCTGGGGACAAGACCAAAGATGCAAGATCCGATCTGGTCATTGGAGTGGACCCTGCCCAGTGGAGACTCCAAACACCTTGAGGCAACCCTGCCAAAGGCAAGTTCTTTGAAAGCATCTGAAACTGACTTGCAGGCAGGAGCCTCTCAAGGATCACGCTCCCTGGATCGTCGGGGAGCCAAAAGATTGGCAAACTCCCCTTTTATACAACTCTCTAATGCTTTTATGGGGTAGAGTTGGGGTGACCAGATGGAGCTGAGCGTTTAAGGACAAATGCCCTTCCTGACTCCATGTGGAGCTTGCTCGCAGCAAATATTTACGATCAGGTTTTGGAGGGGTTCCTCAAGTTAATTGGCTCATCGCAAGGACCGTCGTCGGCTTTTTACCCGTCTACTGTCATAGTTCCAATAATGAAACCCATCAAAAGAACTTCAAGGCAAGAATTCTTCCTTAAAGAACATTTTATTCAGGAAACAAAGTATCAGCATTACATAGTTGAACCCAAAACTAATTTCCCTTCCCCTGGATACAAAGTAACAAATTGCAACTCCCACCCCCAACAAGCAGTCATAAATCACATTCTCCAATTAGCCTGAAATGTGGGCTTTTTCCCCAGCTCCTCAGCCCACCAAAACATTATCAATTCGTCCTTGGGTTCCCACAAAGCAGTGTTTATTATTACAGCTAGCTGAGCTCAGCATTCATCCCAACCCCCCTTCTGCACCTAATGTCTAAATAGAAGAAAAAGCATGTTAAAAGCAAAAAGAGAAAATGGCTGCAATTTTCATCAGTTGTCAGAGCGGGAACATCCAATGTTTACAGCTTTGACATCTGCCTCCCCTCTACAAAAAGGATAAATCCTGCAATTCAAACAAAATCATAGGTTAGGGGTTGCCTCTCAGTTTATTAGGGTAGTTTATTATCATAGAATTTATTAATGAGCCTGTTAGCTTTTACATCACTAAATTTTACCCAAATGGTTTCGGATAGTGGATAGCCTTTCCACTGCATTAAGTACTGTAAGTTTCCCTTGAAAAGTCTAGAATCAAGAATATGCTTCACTTCATAATGGGGCTGTCCAGCTACCACCAGAGGGCCAGGTGCCTTCTTAGGGGGAGGTTGTAAGGTAGAGCCCCGAAAGGGTTTCAGTAGACTACAATGGAACACAGGGTGGACTTTTCCTAAGAGTCTGGGAAGCTATAACTCCACCGTAACTGGGTTTATGATTCTTACGATGGGGAAGGGACCTCAATACTTCGGTCCCAACTTCTTACTAGGCAACTTGAGTCGCAGATATTTTGTGGATAAGTAAACCTTTTCCCCAACCAAATCCATTAGCAGAATGCATAATACTTTCTCAATGTTTTGGACTCTCAACACTCATATCTTCTGATCAGCACATGCATTTGTGGATTTTAAAGTACCAGGTTATGGAAAATTGCCTCAGTCTATTATGAGGAAATAATTTCTGCAGGGTCAATGAAATGAAGAGGTCAATAGGCATTGCGAGAAAGCCATCAGATACTTGCCACCACCATTCCAGGAACGACACCATGTTTCTGTACCAGAAGAGGAGGTGTTTGGTTCAGTGGATTTTCTAGATCATATTTCAGGAAACGGTAGGGATCATGTTTGCTCTGGAAAAGCAGTAAATTATTCTATCATTTTATGGAAATGTCCTGTGCACTTGTCTCATAAACATTTTTTACATACTAGAAATCAAATGGAGAAACAATACTTCACTGTGCAGATAGGGTGAATTCAATATTGCTAAAGCTCTTTCTGACCATAGGTGGGAGATTTATTTTTCTGTCTGCATCACCTCAATCAAAAGTTATCAGAGCCACATTCTGGCTGTGTGCATGGGCAGAACCCAAAATTGGTGGAAGTGGATGGTTTGTCAAACCAAAGTCCATATGATATACCAATGTCTGCATGTAGCTTTCATTTGCAGGTTGCATATTCCAGCCAGACCGAAAAGTCTCACAAGAAGACAAAGATAGTATAGAAACTCACTTCAGAGCCCCACTATTTTTCTGTTATGGATACCTAATCCTTTTTTTCCTCTGTACTCCTACGTGAGAAATTAAGATGGTAGCTAAAATTGATTGCCAGTTCAAAAGGTAAAGCTATGGAAAAAAGAACCCAAAAACTAAAATCCGAAACATGCATACAGTTAAAATCCCAGATAGCCCATCACTTTTTCCTCTAAAAAAACAGAAGCTCAGGTCAGATGTCTGAAATAAACATAAAGAATAACTGGAGATAGTTATCTCATCTGCCCTTAAAACATAATCTTTTTGTTATGTTAATGTATTTTAAGAGGGTGGTAAAATTCTCTAGGGAGACATCTATAACTATTTAATGATCATAACAACTAAATTAAACTTTGATATTCAGAACAAATATAAATCCCAAGATTCTGAGTTCAAACAAAAGTCAGCAAAATGGCCACTGTAAAAAAAAATGTGGAGCAGATGATTCTTGCTTTGATCCGCTAAGGCAATTCTACTTTAATTAACAATGGTAACAGATATTTATAATATATAATTTACAACAAATCTCACCAATTTGTTTTCTGGGAAAAAAACAGATGAGAAAATGAATTTAGCTGAGGGGTGTATATTCTCTTTTTCATAATCTGACAGCTAATCAGATTTTTTGTGAATAAATTATGGAAATAAAATAAAATTCTGTGATTTAGTTATCTTTCATAATTTACAATGCAATATTATGGACATTTATTCCAAGATAATTTCTGTCATGGCTGTTGAGGATTATTTTTAGGATCTGGCTTATACTGTGTATGTAGTAAACAGCTAATCCTTTCACTTATTTTTTTTTTTTTACTTTATTGTACACACACATGTCCTCAGTCCAGGTTGAAACCACTGTAATTCAAACTGGAGAGACTTCTTTATCAAATTTATTTTATTTCTGAATCTTTTTCCTCCTCCCACTATCCATCTGACAGGAGTTAATAGAAAACAAAATTCCCTACTAATGAATGACTCTTGCTTCAGGCTCATGCCCCAGGTTTAAATAGCACAAATCATATACATTTGATTAAAAAAATAAATAGGCCGCTTCTAATTCTTTTCTGAATCACAAAATAATAGCCTGAGCCAAATTCTGTGGTCAGTGAACTCCCTTATTGGCATACTGCTCTTACATTACTACTTCAGCTCAATAAAATAGAAACAGCGATTACCTAGCTAAGAAGAATGAATTTGCTTTGGGAAAATCCATGTATAAAGCATCAACATTTAGTTTACCTGAACACAAGGTGAGGGACGGCCGTGCTGCATCCTTATATACAACTGTTCGACAGACCACTCAAAGAAAGGCGAGTACGAATGTTTTTGTGGTGACAACACACATATCACAATGACTTGTTTGGGATTTCTTGGGGCAGTGATAAACTTTTCAAATTCCAAGTCTGTAATTAATGGGATTTTTACTACACATTTGCAACCTAAACCATCATTGGTTTTGGTCAAAACTTTGCGCAGTACAATTGGACAATCCGTAGGAGAAATTGCCCACGGCTCAAGGGCAGGGCTTACATTTGGGATCTCTTCTTTGGCTCTGTGTGAAGAAGTTGGAAAGAAAAGAATGAGAAAAAAGAAATGGAAAATTAAATAGATAAAGCGTGAAACACAGAAGCTCTGGAAAGTGTCAATGTTGGTGCTGTGTACAATTTTCAGTACACTTTGAATTCTGGATTCAAAGTGTATTCATCTGAGTTAGATGTACATCTGGAACACAGTAAATGAAAAGCAAATGATACCTAGACTCTATTCAAAATTTACTTGGACCCTGACTTTTTAACTTCAAGTTAGCACTCCCACTACTAGCATTAAGATATCTACCTTTCTTGTTACCTCTTCCGGGCTTTTCTTTACAATGATTATCTGTAATAGTTAGGTTGGATTGTACAACACTACATAGTCAAGGGGAAATTATAACAAAAGAAGGGGACCTTGAAGCTTATATAGAAAAGACAGAACTTGTACATTTGTTCTAGCTTAATAATTAGGGAAAAAATGAGGGGAAATAATCAGGAGAAAGAGTCCTGCCATTTGACAAAAAGCCTGCAGAAGGCTAGCTTTGCTACAAAGATTGTTTTGGTGAGTTCATTTGGAGTACAGGTGGTCCTTGACTTATGACTACTCAGAATTATGACAGACTTCCCTAAGGATATTTATGATCCAGATTCAAGGTTCTGGTGGCCAGCCCCACCCCCATGCCCCATGGTCACATGATCACATTTTGGGTGCTCAGCAATCTGCCTGCATTTACAGTCATTTGCAGCACCTTCCAGTCATGTGACCACAATTTCCAGTGTTTTTTGTTGGAAACCAGAGTTTACTTCCAGTTTCTGCAAAAAAAAAAAAAAAAATTCCCATTAGAGACAGTGGATTCCTTAATAATAAATTCACTTAGCGACTGCTACAGAATAAGGCATAAAATTGGGCATGGTCATGTGGTGACTTCCTTAATGACTAGCATGACTTATAGACCATAATTCCAGGATCAATTATGGTAGTAAGTTGAGGACTATCTGTATTATAATGGAGGGTTACCTTTGAAAATAAACCAAAATATATCAATGGTCAAAACTTAGACAATCAAATTTCTATCAGAATCAAATTTCAATTTATTAAATAGCTAGGACTATTGAGTATGATATGAGCATATTCAACCAATATTTTATATATGAACTCACTGCCAATCTGTTTCCATTCTAAATTCAAAATGCTGGTATTAATGTTTCAAGTCCTAAATGGTTGGGTTTGTGTCATTTGAAGTAATTTTTCCCCCTACAATAACTCTGGATATTTTACACTGATGCTCATATTGAATGAGTGCAGCAATGTCTGACAGGCAAAGCCTTATCTAGACTAATGTCTTTGAAATATTCTGCCCAGAGAATCGATATCAGACAAAGCTTCTCTTTTACCTGATTTTTTTAATATTAAGCTATTTTAGAAGGGTTTTTTTTTAAAAAAAATGCTTTACTTTTATCAGTGCTTGTATTGGTCATATTTTATATACTAGCCTTATTACTTTTTTGAATCTAATATAGACTCCAAGCAGTTATAAAATGATTGGATATAAAAATGGTTTTACCACTCACTAGTCCAAGTCAAATTTTATAGTGATAATTACCAGAGATAGGTAATAGATAGATCCTATTATGTTTAAGTTTCCACTATTGGTTTATTTTTATAGTATTAAATTATTTTAACCATCCAGAGGATATTTGATATAAAGTGTAGCATAAAACATATTGCCCTTCAATCGTACCACCACAGTGATTACAAAAATAGTCATAGCTAAAAAGCAAATCTGATGTGTATACTGAAAGACACATATACATATAAACGAAAATGCACAGCATTAATGCAGTATCTTAGAACTGTCAGGCAGCTTTTGGGCTAACAAAAGGGTAGTAAAAGTTAAATGAGGCATCTTTGGGAGAAAATGCCCTGTAACCAGTGGTGGGATTCAAAAATATGAGCAACTGGTTCTCTGTGTGGATGCCACTTCCGGAAGTCCATTCTGGGCCTGGGCAACAAAAAATTAGCTACTGTTCTGCCGAAGTAGTGCAAACTGGCTGAATCCCACCACTGCCTGTAACTAGGGTGCCATTAGTGAACAGGTTCACTGAAACCCAGAAGACAACAACACCCACAACAGATTCACTCTTATCCACTCTTTTCTTAAGTCACATCTCTGCCTATTACCTATTCCAGCCACTTAATACATTTTTTTCAAAAAGCTTTTTTGCCCTGAGAGTTACAGTCTCTTAGGGGTAATTTGTATGAGGCTGCTTGCCAATGAACAATGACTCCAGAGCCAAACTGAATGGAGCCACTTTTTATTTTTCTGGACATTTTCTTTTCTGTCTTCCCATTTTTAACTCAATGTGAGAAGCTGCCAGAGAAAAGACAGATCAATCTAAATTAACGCCTTGCAGTAAAGCCCAAGGGTTGTATGTGGCCCTAAGTCTACAAGCTGTATATTCCTGAAACAGTCTATAAAATTCTACACTAGTGTTCTTAATTTCTTTTGATTGTCAATGATTTGATCTATCTGATTTGGAGTTCTTATCCTCTTTTGAAGTTGTCTGCTTATACATCACAAGCTTAAGACCATTCCAAGGTATGTTGCTGCTCTCAATTGTTGCTTCAAAGGATAAAAAGATATTCCTTTCCCATAACATCAGATCAGACCAGATCAGATCAGAACTGGAATATTTCTTCAATGTCAGTGAGTAGATAGCATTTTCCACTACACTACACAGCAGCAGGGTGACTTAGAGAACACCATGCAGGTGATATGGAAATGACACATCTGTCCCTCAGCATCTCACCATCATTTTGCAATTCAGTAACACTAATACCAATATGTGTAACTTGAGTAAAGCAAAATATATATGGCTCATTCTGCTGTCTCTCTCTGCCAACTTGCTCAGAATGTTTTCCAAGTAATGTCACTTAGGAAAAGTAGAAAGAAATGAAGAGGAAGATCAGCAGCAAGGATCGACTCAACTACAGTGACAATGGGTGCACTATTGGAAAGTCTGAAGGATCAGCTAGATGACAGATCTTCTTGCAGAAAAACTATCTATGTGGTTTCTAAAATTCAACACCAACTTGATGGCACATAATCAGTGCAAGTTACATGCAGAAATAAATAAAGCAGCAAGCCAGAGGTCCAAAGTAAGCAAATACGGTCACTGTTGGTATATCTTCTGAGGAACATGAAAAGCACTAGAAGTCCAGAAGATACATCTGGGATATCTGCAGTAACATCTGCAGGATTCAGCACTTTTGTCAATGTGACAAAAGCAGCATCACACCATTGCAGCACAAGCTTGGCCCCCTTTGTACCTGCCTGCCACATCAAGAACCAGGTACAAAAGGGATGGAACATCATGATGCTTCTTGCATCATTTGGCCCTCTTCACCCTCTGATGGACATTAAAGCCGACATTCTTCAGTTTCTGCCATTCACAATTAGCCTTTTATGACTAACTCCAGTGTTTCTATTTTAGAAGGAGCATATTGTTATCCCACCTATTTAATCTTGCTTTTCAGAGAATTCCCTCCTCCAAAAGTTTGTCTCAATTACCGTGAGGCGGGCCTAAATTTTCTCTTAATTGGCTGGTAACTGAGTAAGCTTATTGGCCTGACAATTCTTTTCTCTTTTGTTTTTGAAAATGAAGCCACAGTTTCTTCTCTTAGCTTTCGATCCAAGGTCTGTACTGGCGACTCAGCTGTTCTACACTTCACAGGCTTTGTACGAAACTCAGGCGGATAGCCTATGCAGCATATTCCTGCCAATCAACAGGTTATTGGGCAAATTATAAAGATTATATTTTAAAAGATAATAACAATGTTAAAATAACAATTGTAGCAATAATGATCAATTACATTTTACAGATATACAAGGCAGTATAGAAGATAGTAAAAGTAAATAATCCTTTGAATTTTATTAGTTAAAAAGACTGTTCTTTTAAAAGTCCTTCTCAGGTATTTGGTTGTGCTTACTCCAATCCAAACTCATCTGGGCAAATAGATAAATACCATATTTTCCCAGCTATCTGAACACAGAGAAGCTAATGTTATATAAATGTCTCCCCAATATGTACCTATATATAAAGGGTTACACATATCTATCTAACATATGTATAAGAGTAAAGTCACTCTCTAGACTAGTGCTATATACAACAGCTCTTATTAAACTGATGCCCTCCATGTGACCATAGTGGATGTAGATTATACAATTTGGATTTCAATCATATAAGGCAGGTATCTCCAAGCCTTGGTCCATGGACTGGTACCGGTCTGTGGCCTGTTGGAATTGGGCTGTGCAAGCGGCAGTGAGCATGTGAAACTTCATTTGCTCATGCATGGGATTATTTTGCTTGCACAAAACCATTCCCTCCCCTCCCCCCCACTGTCATCGCCATGGACCCAGAAAGGTTGGGACCACTGATATAAGGGACACCTAATAAATATTGGTCTACATTGAGAAGTAATAGCTTCAGGACCTTTTGAGTCATACCAAGAAATGCTAAAGAATGATTTTTAGACTATTTGTATGTCAACCTATGCTCTAACATTGAACTGTAGTCCTTGCCCAAGTAGCAAAGGATGCTTTGGATTACAAAGGATGGTCATATACCAAAAGTTTGCAAACTCCTTTAAAACAATGATCTTTTTCTGGGATAATCTGGGAGGTGGTTTAAAGAGTTGTAGGCAGGTTCACCGTCATGTGTACACTCAAGACACTTTTGCCTCTGCATCCAAAGTCCTGAATGTACCTTATATAAGGCATTTCTAACTTTCCACGACTAACATTATTTCTAGGTAAATATGCCTACAACTGTCTTATTATCTAAGTTATAACAATTACATAGCAAGACTTCCACTGTTCTTACCAGAAAGATGCCTCCTATCTCTCAAGAAAATATCATAGCAAGATGAAATCTAGCTTGTCCCTTAGATAAAGAAGCTACAGATGTAGATTATCTATCATCCATATGAAAAAGAACACTAATATCTCATCTCATATTCCTTTCTTCTTTCCTTTATTATATTGCCTGTTTATATTCTGTGTCAAAGCTAGGGACTGTCCTACAATTAATGTTTAGAAGACTTTTCCAGCTGAAGGAGGAGGACTACAAAAATATCTACTTTTTTTATTAAAAGTTTTTAAAATTTTACAATAAAAACCCTTTCCCCAATCCCTCCCAACCCTCCCCAAAACCCTCCCCCATTCTTCCCAGAGCTGAATACAGGCTTAACTAGAACTTAAAAGAAAAATTTTTTAAACCCAAATAAACCTTAAACCAATATCATTACACTCAATAAACAGATTATGACATACTTTAACTCCATTATATATAAAAAACAGAAAAGAAAATAAAATTAAAAAAATAAAAAAATAAAAAATGATAATAATTACACTTCTACATAAATATCTTAAACTTTAAATATAAATTATTCAAAAGCTAGATGGTATTTTCTTATATCATACTTATATTGTATAAAATTTATCCATCTTTTCCACACCAAGAGATACTTCTCTTGCGATTGATCTTTCAAGAAAGCCGAAATTTTTGCCATTTCCGCTAGATAAGATACTTTAAAAAACCATTCTTGCAAAGTAGGCAAAAATTCCTTCTTCCAATATTGCCCTATTAACAACCTCAGTAATTAAATTTAACATTGAAGTAATCTCTTTATCATCACATTCAAAAGAGATATAGGTCTATAATTCTTTGGTAACGTAAGATCTTGGTCTTCTTTTGGGATCAAAGATATAAAAGCTCTGCCCCAAGACAAGGGGGTCTCTAAACCCTGTAATATATTATTAAAAAGTTCCCTTAGAGGTTCTATCAACTCATCTATCAAAGTCTTATAATAAATTGATGTCAATCCATCAGTACCAGGTGCTTTACCTAACTTTAATTCTTTGATTGCTTTCACAATTTCCTCTATAGTAATCAATCCATTAATTTCTTGTTTCTGATCTTCTGTTAATTTAGGAAAATGAGCATCTTGTAAATATTTATCTATATCTAAAGCCTGTACTTTCCTACCCATATATAATTTTTTATAATAATCTAAAAAAGATTTCTTAATCAATTCCTTCTGAAATACCAATTTACCTTTATAATTTATTTTGTCTATAATTCTCAACTTCTGTTTCTGTCGCAATTGATAAGCCAACCATCTCCCTGGCTTATTAGCATTACAAAATGTGTTCTGTTTCATATACAATAGGTTAGTTGCAGTCTGATCTGCCATTAACATATTAAATTGCGATTTAAGCAGTTTTATAGATTCCTTAATCTTCTCATCTGTAGGATTCGAAATTAAGACTTTTTCTTTTAATTTAATCTCTTCTTCCAACTCATTACGTTTCTGCACCTGTTTCTGTCTATGAATCTTATTCATTTGCATCAATACCCCACGCATATAAGCTTGGTGTCAGAAGTGGGATTCGAACCCAAGCCTCCATGGGAGAAAAAATATCTACTTTTGTAGCCATTCTTACTTGATGTAGCAACAACTACAAATGTTATATGAACAATTCAAACACAAAACCCAAAAGGAATCGATTCAGTAGTTCCCAGTGTTACTTTGGATGAACAGTTTGGAACACAGAATCTGACCACGGGTCATATTTCTTCACAACATTTATCTGTGTCATTTCATCATTTCTGAAAATCTGAAATTTAAGATGTCATATTTGTACCATTATTCACTTCATTTCAAATTTAATTTTAATCACCACTCGGTGTTATTATGAAAGAGAGCATATATACCTGCATGAGAGGGCACATGACTATACGCGTTAATTAATAAAGCAATGTGAATTTCATAAACTCAGCAAACTGACAATACCTGAAATCATCAAAACACTGTTTATAAATTGTTTTACAGTTTTCTCAAACCGCCTCTTAATGTCGACAAGGCATCTTCTCCAATGTTCTTTCTCATCAGCTTCAATGTTTTTTAAAGTCAACTTTGGAAAGGAAAAAGGGAGATGAAAATGATTTTTAAAAATGCTGCATTATAACATCTGGAAATCTTAACAGCCATCATTTAGCAGAATTCAGTGACTTTTTAGACCAAGGACTGGATTGCATCCATTTTTTCTTAGCTAGGACATCATACGAGGTAAGACTCAGCCCAAAAAAAAAGAAAGAAAAAAAGAGAAAAGTTATAATAGCGAATGTTACCAGAACTGAAATCTCATAGTCATTCTGCTCATTCTGAGACATGGCATGATAGAGAGTGGCCAGTAATACTATTAACTGATCGTTAAAAGACTCAATTTACTTTCCATATAGATCTGAAGTTATCTCTGTAATTCCTGATGCTGGAGAAAAATAAATAATTCTGTGCTAGAAGAAGCATAAAAGGGCCTTGCCTATTTTGTGCAGTAGGTCTGTGACAAACAATAACAAAAGAACTCTTATGCAGCTGTTACACTGAGCAAAAATCCTCCTTATTGGGTTAAAAAAAATCATCTTTATTTAGATTCTTTAAAAAAATGTATACAAACTGTATGCTTTATCTACAAGCTGTCTAGTATAGGAACATTCTCTTCTTTGATAGTAGCTTTTTTGATAGCAGCACTTTCCCTCAACTGAAGGCTATACATGTTTGCAGAGTCAAGACCAGTTTTCAAGGAGAAAAGTCTCTCATCATCTTCAAAATAAACATTCCACACTCTATTTCTTTCACTCTATTTTTTTTTTTAGCAAAGAACAAGGGAGAGGATTTGAAAATAACAAGAATGAAAAAAATGGAATGAGCTATTGGAACTCATCTTTACACATTTCACATACAAAAGCATATTTTTAAAGCACAGATATTCAAAATGCTTTTCCCTCCACCACGTGAGCATATAAATCTTTTGAAAGTGCCAATCATGCCGAATCCCCATTTTCAGAGTGTTCCTGAACTGGTTTGAAAGTGCGGCTGAAGTGATCGAAATTGCCAGATACGACATGGGACCACTTGCATGAGTATATACATTACATAGGTATGTATTTCATTTTCAAAACATTTTTCATTTTCTTAGTGCTTGAACCAATAGTTTTTCTTTGTTTCTCCTTAACAAAAGCAATTTATGTTTTGCAGTGTGTCTGTTTGCATGTCTAGGTGGGGGATATATATATATATAAGGGATGGAGAAGGAAGTGACAAGCAACAATGACTTCTTAATCTACAGAATGGGCCAATTAATACCATGTGGCTGATAAATATGTCATTCAGCCGCCCTGTGAAGGCAACCAGTGGAGTCATAAAACATTTTAATGCAAAGACTGTCTTTCCACAAAAGTGCATCCACAGTATAAACATTTTGGAGGAAGGAACCGAACAATTTCCTTCTGGAAAGAAAGTTGTCCTTATTGCCGGTTTCAGCAAAGTTCCTGGGGGGTTCTTGCAAAGGTCAATGGAACTCCAGGGAAGTAATTTGAAAAGAGCCAAGTGCGGTGTACATTGTGTGGGGGGGGCTGTAGGGGGTGAAGGGAAAAAAGATAGAATGAGGTATAGTTTGTCTATTGCTTTTATTGCAGAATTTAAACTGGGTATAAGGTTAGAAGGGTATGGTAACTGTAATGCAATAAGTGTTTTATTTAAGCATTTAGAAGACAGGAATAACCTAATCATGATACTGAACTGTGCTTTTTTGTTATTTGTCAGCATTAGTGCCCTCTTTGTTTCAAAAGCTCGATATGATATACAGAGTACTCATTCCTCCCCCGCTTTCCTACAAATCCATCCTGTGAGGTAGGTTGACTGAGAAATACTATCTGGCCTAAATTCCCCCAGGGAATTTCATAACTGAGAGTGAACTTGAACTAAATTTTTCCTAATGTTACTTCAATGCTTTTCCAACTATATCACGCCATCTCTCTCCTAATGGGTCACTGAAGACACAACATGGGCAGGCACAAATTCTCCTGAGTTTCAATTAAAGTTACTGCATATAGACAAATTTCTTTATGGTGGCAATGAAAATCAGCCTTCCAATTTAAACAAAACAAAACAAAACACTGGGGGTGCTTTCATTAGATGATGGATACCTGTTTATCACCCTTGCATCCTTGCAGACATCCAGGTCTTATCAAAGATAAGGTAATACTTTCATTCAAGGTCGCAAAAGTAATTGTCATGGAATTTTGGCTAAGAACCTTTAATTTTAACTGTTCATTTATCTAAGAAATTTAAAAAAAGATAAATCAGAGTCATGGGGCAGATTCACAGAGAATGACATTTTCTCATTGCTTTCATGTCTGACAGTCTTCTTAACTGGACTAGCAAAGGTGCACATAGGCCAAAACAGACACATGTATATGCATCCATAGCAAACACAATCTGTTACACCCATATATATATATATACATACATACATACACATACATACATACACACACACAGTATTAATCACTGTCCATTTTGAATACATAGAGGAAAGAGGAAACATGAGAGTTCACAAGGTTGATACTATATGGAACAAAACTGTGGCTGAATCTGGATGTTCTGCTTCGGATACCACGAAGCCTCCTTCCAGAAGGTAACAAGGAAAACAGGTTGTGAAGAGGATGTCATTCCAAACAATATTGTGGACTCTGCTCAAGCATTGCTTATATGCTATGTCCTAGAAATGAAGAAATGAACTGCCAATAATCTTTTCTACCATCCTCACCACTCTCTGAACCGCTTTCCTGTCTGAAGCAATAACGATTCCAAACCGTTATTTTGTAATGCAAAATGGCAGGATGCTCTCAATTGTCCCTCTGTAGAAAGTGGTAAGGACAGAGGAAAGAAGATGTACTTTTCTTATGCAATGCAGAAAATGCAGGTGCTGCTGTCTATTTAATCAAATTTATATAGTGGCCCATTTCATGACTGTGATTCTTGGTGATGTACAATAAAATAAAACAATAAAACATACACACACATACATATTATTAAGTCATAGAAGAGTGTTTAAAAACTCATTGCAATAAAGCCATGGTGTGGGCTCCCTGTTTCCAAGGGATCCCCAGCCCTAATGGAAAAACCATGTCTTGAAAGATTTTCAAGGCCAGTATGGTCAGAGCTAATCTCACCTCAATGGAAATAATGTTCCAGAGGGTAGATGCCATGACAGAAAAGGCTCTCCTTCTGGGTTCTGTCAGGTGCAACTCCTTCATAGATGGAGCCTGCAATAAAACCATTTTGTCTCCTACTCATGGAGGAGGCCTACTGCCAAACAACTACAGTTGGCAGGATCCAGATTCTCTGCTGTAGCACCTTCTCTGCTGGACCTGATGAGGCAGGCATATATTATTGGGAAGATATGGTCCCTCAGATAACCTGGCCCTATGCCATGAAGAGCTTCAAACATCAAAACCAGCACCTTGAATTTGACCCAGAAGCACAGGAGCATCCAACTCCAAATAGAAGTGTAACATGTGTGCTCTAGGACAGGGGTCTCTAACTTTGGCAACCTTCAGCCAGCCAGGCAACATGGCTGGCTAAAGAATTCTGGGAGTTGAAGTTCACAACGAGCACACATAATTGCCTGCGCCTCTGCATTTTGTACCAGCTGAAACTTCTGAATTCTTTTCAAGGACAGCACCATGGAGAGGGCATTACAGAAATCCAAACTGGAGATGATCTAGGAATAGGCACAAGTGGTACACACCACCCCTCTCAACATTCTGCAAGTCTCTCAAGACCTGGCTATGCTATCAGGCCTAGATGTTCCAGGGGTCCGGGGAGATATTGACATTTCTCCTTGGATTTTGTTTTGTTTTAGTGAATACCATCTTCTCCTATTTTGTACACCTTTTTAACAGTTCATATTTTAATTGGAACTGTTTCCATGTATGTGTATGTGTATGTGTGTGTGTATATATATGTGTGTGTGTGTGTGTGTATGTGTACACACACACACACACACACACATACGTATATATGTTGTCCTGTACTCCTCCCAAAATCAGTTTCATGTGAGATGGGTGGCTATACAAATATAATAAAAAGATAAATAAATGAAAAATTCCATATATATAAAAAAGAGACATACCCCATGTTTTTCTACAAAAGAAATGCCCCAAATTCTGTTCCATAAATGCAATATTTTTGTACCTGTAAGAATCTAATCCCTGAGCACAGGTATTCCCATAATATAGTAGTAAGAACACATATTTTAAAAACATGTTTCAGTGCCTTGTGGCAATGCATGAAGGTCTAAAATGCGAAAGTAGTAATCAAAAGGAATCAATTTGAATACATGCTCTCTGTTTACAATAATGTCAACTAGAATTACCCAGTTCTGGAGGTATTTGTAGAACCTGAACATAGCTGGAGACTTGACTGACCTAAAAACGTAGAGTAATTGTTAAAAAGATCCCAAAACAATGGTGGTTCCTCATTAGCAAGAGTCCAAATTCATACCTGAAAATCTAATGACTGTAGAACTTCTTTTCTGGAATACCAATTCCAGCGGTGGGTTAAATGGCCATATTTGTCTCTAACTATCCCACCTTCCTGATTCATCAATAACGCCACAGAAAAGCTGAGTAAGGGGAAAAACAGTCAAGTCACAGAAAATAATACTATAAGGTTGTTGCTGAAGATACATGTGTAACTAGTAATATTTGTGGCTCTTCTGATTGCAAGAATATTATAAGCATCATAATAAATATTGAGGATTTTAATGTTCCTAAGTCCAGACTATGTATTATTTGAAAGTTATTTGGAAGAAATGCAAAGAAGTTTGGAATTTCCAGGCTTTTATATAAACCTGAAAAAAGATACTTTCCTTTCATGATTCCCATAAAAAGATGACTTTTTAAGGCAGTGGCATCCTTTTTCAGACTCTTGCTGATGTCTGAAAATAGATTGGCTGCTTTAGTCAAAAAAGAGACCTTGCTTGCACTAGATCTGAAGCACTTACCATTTTCAAAGAGTGAACTGCTCTAATATATGGTACCTTTGATCCATTTAGTGCCTGTACAATACAACATAGCTATGAAGAAGGTTGTTGATTCCTACACATGATAATGCCAACATGGCAAAACATAAGAGATGGTATCATAACACAAGCTCTGCCCTTTTGTGTTTGTGATGTGATTACACACAAATTCGTACAGGATGGAGTTTGCATCATGATGTATATTACTCCCCTATCTATGGTCATGGTAGAATTATACCATGGTAGCTGAGTTCCTGCAAATATGAAGGCTTTGCACATATTTTTATATCATTGCATAATAGTGAATCTTGTTGAACAAAATAGCAATTAAAATTCATATTTATATCAAATAACCATCTGAAATTAGGTTTTAATAGACATTTCAAAGCCCCATTTCCATCTGTTCAAAAGGACAAATGTCATGAATACAGATGTTCAACTCAAAATGAGTTGAGTCCTTGAACATCAGTGCATTCCTCAGACTTTTAGCTTATCTAACCCACCTAATGTATTATCTCCTCAAAGAAGCAAGATTTCCACTGGTGTACTACCCAACTCCCATTTCTTCTCTGTGGGGGTTTCCCAAATTCCCTCAACTGTTATGCACTCAGTGCTCTTTATTTCTCTGAAAATGTCTCATGCCATCACTTCAGGCCAAATTTTATATTGGTCTCACACAGTCCACCTCTGAAATGTATTCCAATTGCTCATCACTTTGTTGACCCTTTTCTCTTCTAGTTGCACCATGTGGCATCATCATTAATTACACCAGGTGGGGTTAAGCTTTTAACATAGGCCATTAATAGCTTGCCATATCACATGCTCCTTAAAGCCAGAGATACAGAATATCTAATTACTTCACTTAGAAAAAGAGTGATGGATGGGAATCATAACAATAAAGTAGCCAGATTAAATGGATCTAGTTGACCTGATTTTAAAAGGCCCATAACACTGATTAGTTATGTCACCTTGAACTAGTCTCTTTTCTGATTATTCATCTGTAAAACTGAAATAATTTCCCTCTTACATGATATTTTTCCATGAATGAATGCATTTCCTACAGGCATTCATTAATAAGTCTATACTTTTTGAGGTTACCATTACAAGATGAAATTTTGCAGCCACAGTGTTGAATGTATTGGACAGAGAGAAATCATATAGAGTTATGACGTTCTGAATGAGCATACACATCTCTTACTGGAAACTTGGCTAGTCTCAAGGGAACTAACATAATTTGAATGAAAATATGAAAATATCATGATATTTGCTTCAGCCATTGGTGTGATGGAATTGATCTAATATTTCTTTTGATTAATAATTCAAGGATTGCCTATCAATTAATGGATGTTTTCCCTGTTGCATTTCTATCCAACTCCAACAATTAGGATCAATTAATGACACTCACCTTGATTTAAAGGAATAAGATAGACAAGAGTGGCCCAGGGTAAACATGCCTAAAAATCCTTGACTTGGAACATCCTGAAACAGAAAGGTGATTGTCTTTCCTATGCAGCATATGGGAAATTGGAGAACTGCAATATTTCCGGATGGATAACTTTGAATTAGGTCAAGTCATAGCACACATGAAAACGATGTTTACTTAGCTATTCATTCAGAGAATATGGGAAATTCTTGGGCCCTTTGAAGTTACAAGGTGATACTATCCTCAATATGAGTCTAATAAAATAATGTGAAAGGATAAAAAAAAAATAGCACTGTGCTATAGAACTTCCTCAAGTGCAAACCTTGGATGACTTCCTGCTGAACTTCCCACACTGGGCATGTTCAGTCATAGAGTACAGTGACTGTAACTGACACCTGTTGATAGTTCAGATCAAACATGGTGACATAGTTCTTTCGTAGCTTGGAATTATTTCATAATGCTTGGAGGAGAGATCTGTATATGGAACTTTTCCTGCAGTTGCCCTTGTGTTGCGGTGCTCAGAAGTCATCTGAAGGAAGCAGGGAAGAGACTTAGTTTGTGGGGAGAAAGTGAAGAATTGGAAACTTCTCTGCATCAGCAAAATCTTTTCATGCAATGAAATGTGCATGAAATCACATTCAAGGGCAACTTCCAGTTATCACCCCATGCCCTAAGACTATTGCACCTATCTACATTCTGAACCTGATCAACCTACAAGTAGCGAAATCTTTTCCAGATTACTGCATAATATTTTCTAATGGAGCCCTGAAATGGCTCATTCTGTTCTACAGCCTTGCCTGAGAGACCATTTCCTTCTCACATTTTCATAACCTATGCCTTCACAGCAAATGAATCTATTGGCTAAAATAATGAACTCTAACAAGGGGATTATAAAGGCTTTCAATCCAGCCTTTGTTTAAATCACATTGTTAAAAGAGAAAGAGGCATTTGAGCCATAATAGTGATATGAAAAAAAGTGTGCTGCCTTTTTAAAATTACCAGTTTAGTGGCAAGATCAAATGCAGCATGTTCTTCTGTGATGTAGCTCCAACTAAGCCAAAGCCAAGTGGATGTCAAGGAAATTAAAAAGGGAAGGAGGGAGAGAGAGAATGCAAAGGATTTGCAGAGTTTAATTCTAGACTCCTGATGCATGAAATGGAATGGACAATATTCAGACATGGGAGTGCCAGCACAGACTCATAGCTTGTTCCAACTTACCCTTTAAGACCCTACCCTACACATGGCTTTAATGATACTATCACTATCTTGGGTTTGGAAAATTAAATTCAAAGTAGTTATAGGGGTGTGGTAAGGTTGGGCTACTGGATTTGGATGGTGAAAGTAGAGATGACCACCAGTCATCTTCCCCTCCAGTCCTGGGGCACTGTCTTCTAGGTCCATTGGAAGCAGTCCGTTGCAGCAGAAAATTGGGCTCTTTTGATTTTGACTCTATTCTGGACTGAGCAGCTGTCTCTCCTTACTTCTTCCATTGATCCGCCACATCTGGCAGCAGACCCACAAAAGAAGTGGGGAGTCAACTAAGAGGTTTCTGACCAAAGGGGATTGAATCATCCAATCAGATCCTTCAACCAATATCTGAGGAAGAAGCAGACCAGGACTATTAGAGTGTAATTAAGAGTAAGAATCCTCTTAATTGCATAACACACACACCTCTGGACAGGTGTTTGGGAAGCTCCTTTTAAAAATGCCTTCAGTGCTCTTTCAGAAGCATTAAATCCAGGTGATCTGGTACAAATTAGATAAGGTGCATACCAATCTCTTTCAAGAAAGTCTGGCCACGGCTAACCCATATATGAGAAGTGAGAATCAAGTGAAACTGGTTTAGAATTGCTCCAGTTTCATGTACTCTTAAATGATAGATATTTGAAGCATTTCACCATAGTAGAACAGTTACAACTAGGCCACAACCCACATAACAAGGTGAGAAGTTCTTATTCAATGAAGGCTTTGAAATAGCAACACTCAAATGCCTGGAAGTTACATGAAGGTAGCAGATAGACCAAGAGATCAAATGGATGAGCAGCTGTTCACATGCCCTTAAGACTGCAGACTTCTAATAGGTTTTAGTAAGTGTAACAATAACCCACCAATTTATTCCCTGGCAAAATAAGGATACTAAATCAGCGATGTTCCATCAGGAATGGAAAAGAATAATTTTTTCAATTTTGAACGTCTGATCTCAGCAGCTAATTGAGAGAGGGAAGCTCTTCTCAAGGCCTGAGATGGTGACTTGTGCACAGTTGGATAATTCTTCAGTATTAGGGGTCTCACATGGCACTTTGCTATGGCTACAGACTTCTCATGTTCTCTAAAAGAAAAAGAAACAATTGCACTGCTTCATGTTAGATATAGTGATAAGTAGTAAGAATCAGAACTTCAACTAGTGCAATCCTCAGCAAGTTAAGAGTTTTGAGGGTATTTTGTTTAACAACAACAACACCACTCTGGCAAAGAGCTAGAATCCGAGCTTTTTAGGAAATTAAAGGCTGAAACACAGTTCATATACTTGCCTGTGCACAGAGCCAGATACAAAGGGGAAATTGTGATACAGGGTTATGCATATAGTATTTCCCGGAAACACTTTAAAGCAGCAGTATATTTTCTCCATTTGCATCACTGTACTTTACAGCTGATGCACAATTCTGGGAAAAGATGGATTGGTTTAAGGTGTTCCTGAAGGATGCTTTATGCACACTCCACATGATCCAATTCTTCTTTTCTCCTTTGAATCTGGATTGCTATGTGATCCTATTATTTACATGTCTAAGGCCCAAGCTATAATCCTATGACAATTAATAGGCTCTAAAGACCCATATGAAAGTTGCATGCATAATTACATACATAAATTAGAATATTAGTGCTTATAAATATATGATTTCACCATACTGTATTTTTGTATGAGACAGGGTATTTATTTCTCTATCTGTAACAGTGGTAAAACTGACACTGTGTGGCACAGTGAGGCAAGGAAAAGAAAGCATTTGTTGCTTGATTAGAAACTGAAACTATAAAATAATAAGTCCAATATTTTTTTTGACAGTCATAGAAAATGGAGATTAAGTAGAAATTCTCTCCTAACACACATAGCCCCCAGAGCAATAAACTGTAATTAGCAAATTGTGATAGTAATTGGAAAGAGATAGAGGGCATTTCCATATCGCATCATTTCTTTTCCCCAATCCCTTGGAAACAATCAGAAGCATCTCTGATCAAGTTCATTTCTGCAGATCTGAAAATTGAAAGGTGAGCCAATCAATACTACCCCCCTACTATAGCTTATATTTCCTTATTTTTGTATTTAAAAGACCCCGTAAGCTGTGACAATAACAGGATAGCATGCTGGCAAATTTGCAACACAATGTTTTTCTTAGTATCTTTTCGTAATGGTTGCAAGGTATGTGATGGTTAGAAAAGGAGAAATCTCTCTAGAACAATATTTAAAGGATGGGGACCACAACTCAGCAGATTGCAGAGACCCTTGGAAATTTCATAGCAATTATTACAAGAGGTTAAGGATAGAAATAATAGCAAGAAGCCTCTGAGAGCAAACTACTGTGCTCTTTGAATGAATGGAAGTCTGTAAATGACTTGAATTCCCATTTTTGCAGGCCCTTATATAGCATTTCAAGATGTTTTAACAGTTGGAATAAGGTATGAGGTGTTTTTGAGAGAAAAACTGCTCCCACCTCTACCCCTACAACTTCTCATCTGTCCAAAAATGGCCCCAAAGTTCCATTTTTAGGTTGATTTGGGGCTGCATGTATGTATTTACTGCTACAATCAAATATACTTTCTTCTGTGTTTAGGGGGGATAAATATGAGAATTTGACAGTTCACCTCTCAGAGGCTTTGCACTCTATTGACACGTCAATCACTTCTGCAAAATGTCAAAACAAGAGCCAAAGTTAAGATGAAAAAGGATTTTTAAAAAATGTCCTTTAGAGACAGCCACCTGCTCCAATCCCACCCTCACTTTGGAATTTATCTCTAATTGTTGATCAAATTAAGCAGCCTATTTTTCAGGCTTGGAAGAAAGCACAAAGGCCACAGACACCCCAGTTCTGTTCTAAGCTCTAATCTTGCAGGAAAAGAACTATAAAACAAGATGTTGACATTTTTTTCTGGATATAGTACTGTGGCAATAATCATCCCCATCACCCCTGTATCTAGAAGAATGAGAAAGGAAAACACAATCTGATTTCACAGATGTTTCACATGACTACCTACAGTCATGTGAAAATGCCCCTACATCCCATTGACAATTTTGACTTTTGAAAACGTATTTCAACATACACGTATTTGACCTTCATCTTAACAACATAGATAGATAAAGGGGATATAATGTAGTAAATATCACACACCATTTACATTTTGTAATCCACTGTGTAATTTAAATAAACGTTAAGTGCAACTTTTGTATGTGGAAAAAGTGCATTCCTACATTGAACATTACCTGAAGTAGTTAAAACTAAGAATTGGGTGCAAATGATTAAAATTCCATTTGAAAAGAAGTGGGAAGAAACTGTCTTATTGAAACCTGAAACATTTGGTTTGCTCTTGTACTAGACAAAACAAGGCAATATACATGCGCAAATATTTGTATGCATATCTGCAAGAAAGCAGCCTTGTCTGTTTCTTTGCCTCATACTAATAGGGATCCTCTCTGCACCAGTCCATCCATGCTCCAGGCCCTGATGAAATACATTGCTTTATCATATAATATATAAGATACAAATGCTGCAACTTGTTGATTGGCCGAGTGATTTGTTGTAGAAATAATGCATTTTCTTTCCTAATTGTTTGAAAAAGCTCACATGTGACGGCAAATTTCACGGAGCCTCCCCCTTGCTTCAGGACATGGATCAAATTTGTCAGATAAAATGGACTCCTTGTCTTGACCAGTGCTGCTGCCACCACCTTTGATTTTAAGCAGACCTGTAAAAACATATTGAGAAATACAGTTATTTATTTATTATTTGTTATTTGTTTGTTTATTTAAAAAAACCACCTTCTCAAAGTTGTTCTCTAAACTGGGGGTAGGGAACCTTGGATCTTTTATGACTTGTGGACTTCAATACCCAGAATTCCTGAACCCGACATGCTGACTAAACCAGGTACGTCAAACTCACGACGTCACGCAACTTCTTCCCCATTGCTGGCAATGGCATGGGTGCAGTTTCGTCATGACGCATATGGCCCATGGGCCGGCAGTTTGACATGCCTGCTCTAAACTAAGGTTTCTCAAGCTTGGCAGCTTTAAGAGGTGTGCACTTCATGCTGGTTGGGGAATTCTGGGAATTGAAGTCCACTGGTCCTAAAGTTACCAAGGTTGAGAAACCCTGTTTTAAACATATCGTGAAAAACATACTGTCACCAAATACTTTTTTCTATCAAAACTTTATTTAATTTAGTAACTAAACATATTCTAAAAATGTTTAAAGGAAAAAAAACAGATAATAGAGTTAACAGGGCTTGTTGTGCTTGTTGTTTATTATGCTATATAATTTATTAGAACTTTTAATCTTCTATCTGTAAAAATCATATTGAATAATTTTTCAGGTTAACGTGTAGCTGCTGAAGATGCTCATGGGGGCGTATGCAGGGGATTCAACAGCATCAACATATGCATCTGCTAGTTTGATGCTTTTGATCCCTTTCTCAGTGGATCCCACTGAATACTTGGTCCTCAGCAGTGTTATTTGGACACTGGCAAAGGGTCTCCCAAAGCCTTTGACCTAAAGATTATTTGTGCTTTTCTAGCTTCCTGGATAATGTTACTTCTTCCGTTTTTGTGGCCCTGCTCTGCTTGCAACCCGGCCGGTACAAACTCACTGAATATGCTATTAAATCGGATGTTTTTGCATTGACAACAGATGGAAATGTAGCCATCTTTTACCTTTTGCTTTTAGAGTTAGATGATGCTGGGAGGGGGGATGTGAACGAGAGTCCAGCTAGACATAACAACACTAAACCTAGTGTGAGAAACAAGGTTATTGTAACCAGAGCTGATAAGGACTTGGTGGGCTGGAGAACTGGAGAGGAAGCCCTCGCTTCAAACTAATTGGGGAGTGTGATTTATCACTGTTAATTGGAGGAGGGAACTGTGCTTTGATACTATGTGCTCAGGGGAGGGGAATTCAATTTTTGGCTTAGATTACGTACTGCCGGTGTTATGCTACTCAAAATAAAGATTCTTTAAAGTAAACAATGCCTCAAAGTTCTTTTGAAGAGTTTCATCTGTCAGAACCATGATAGTATAGCTGGTATTAACGATGACATGATAGCTGCCAGGCGACAAAAACCAAGAAAGTCATGCTGAGTTAAGAGGTTTCCTTTATTGTTCTTCACCTATAGACAGAAATCTTCCCAAATTAAAGCAAACTACTTGCATCATTAAAGATATACTCTGAGAACATCTAAGGAAGAGCTGTCTTGATCCTCTTCCTTCCAACCAAACTATCTAAACTTCATTGTCTCTTTTCCTCCCTTCTGGGAATCCAGATCACATTCCGCCACAACAGCAGTCAAAAGCTATCTCTCTGCCCATTTATCTTGAATACATGTAAAAAATGGCATCTGAATATCTCTCCTGCATCTCTCTTGTTCCACCTCTTCCCATTCTGTGTACTGTTATAGTTCCATTCAGCAGTCTTTGGAATAGTCCTTACCTGAGCTCTTCTGTGGTTTGACCTCTTTGAATGATAATGAAAAGCAAAGGCAGGACAAGGACATTTGCTGTATGAGTTGGGTGGTGGAAGTTATAGGAATTGCTGGCCCTGTTGGAACAACACCACGCCCTGTAGGCAGAAAAGATATGGCGGATTTCATGTCATGATTGCAAAATACATTATTTTTGAAATAAAAAGTGTGCCCTGGTACCATTGCTATTAATGAAAAGAGAAAGAAAATCCATAAAAGGAAATGTTTGATTCCTAAATTCATAGGAATGCTTCAAGAAACCCCAAATAATATCTTTTGTAGATATGTGGTTTAAGCAGGAAACCAGAAGATTAGTCAGAATGGCATTGATCCTGATTATTTATTTTCCAGGGGCCCGACATGAAAGATTTCCTTGTATTCAGCAAATATTATGAGATAATTCAGTACAGGAATTAATGACAAAAGCCCAAGTTGTTTACTTGTAATTTTAGAAATAATTACAGATATACTTTCAGCTCCTTAAATATCATCATCATCATCACCATCATCATCAACATCATCACCACCACCACCACCACCACCACCACCATCATCATTTTATCCACTGTTTATCCACTACAGGATGCAGGCTAGAAATTGGGAGATACAATTCTATTCCTGTTCTAGTCGTGTCCAAGTTTAGTCACTTCCTCTCAGCTCTAGGAAGTAAGCAATGGTAAATCACTTCTGAAAAACCTTGCTAAGAAAACTTTAGGGATTTTGTCCAGGCAAACTCTGAGAATTGGACACACTTGAGTGGAAAAAACAAACAAACAGAACAGCCTTTTCAAAAGCCAAATTAAATGGTCCTAAAAATCTGCAAGGGGGTTCTATTCCCCAGAGCCAGGTGATATATGGGCTCCGGTTAATGGCCCTTTAGGATTTTAGGCACTACTGTGGTGCTAACTTTGCTAAGATACGGTAGCAAATTTACTCCGAAATACCTCCCAGTGAATTCAGTGGAGCTTAACTTTGAGTAAGGGTATAAAGGAAAGCTTGAAATCTTAAGGTTATACTGTGGACTGCAATTTATAGTCCCACACTTGGGTGCATTTTCCACTGAATTCAATTAAATTCATTTATCAGTAGACACATACAGAATGGCCTAGTCAGGTTACAATTCTAGGCATCATTAAATGGAAGGGTGACACTGATGTTGCAGAGATTTTTCTGAAAATACAGCCACAGGACTGCCCTTCAGAAAAGCACATTTTTGTATGTGAAAGTTTAGTTCATATATTTTCAAAATTCTGCTCTCTCATACAAAAGAATCATGGATACTTTCAGAACCTGAGGAGTAGGCCTTCGGTGTATGATGCTCTATGGGCTATTGTACTCTGGTGAGCTGACGAAGAAGCTCCACTAGGTTTTATGGGGGATGCTCTGGGAGATTATGGTCTCAAGGATGCCCAGTTTAGGGTAGTCCAATGGCTTGTGGACATACTGTAGATTTGCAATATTTAAGATCCAGAGCCAACAAAACCTGCTCCCCTTTGATCTTCAACCATTCTAATAATTATGGATTGAGGTTGGCTTCATATTTCTATACTCTAACCATCCCCAAGTATAGAAGAGTCTTTTCCCTAGCCCGTTTCAATGTTTTGCCCTCAGCACTATTCGACGGGTGATTCAAGAGGCTCCTGTTTAGTGAGCGACTATGCCCCTGTGATAGGGCTGAAGTTGAAACTGTGGAGCATGTCTTATCATACTGCCCTATGTATAACACAGCCAGAATTAAATTACTGTCTCTCCTTGGAATTGATCCCTCTGGTTCTAATGTTAGTAATTTGGTCTTATATTGTCTAGGGCAGTGGTTCTCAACCTGTGGGTCGGGACCCCATTTGGGGTCGAACGACCATTTCACGGGGGTCGCCAAACAAGGCTGTCCGCCATTTTTTCCCCTTTTCTTTGGCCACGCCCCTGGCACCCGGTGATGTATAAGTGGTTGGGGGTCACCACAACATGGGGAACTGTATTATGGGGTTGCGGCATTAGAAAGGTTGAGAACCACTGGTCTAGGGGATGGCTCCTCCTATATTACTCTCAGGTTTCTAAATTTCTTTTAAGAGCTGTAACTATTAGAGGAGAATGTTGTAATTCCCTTTAGCCAAGGCTTCTGGTGTTAACTGCTTGTGGTTGTATTTTTCTTGTGTTTTATTTTGTTGTACTTGCATTTTGGTCTGTGACTGTAAAATAAAAATTATTACTATTATTATTGTACTCTGGTGTAAAAATCAATGTTGAACTAACAGCTGAACACCTAAAGGACAAAATCATTTTAAAGAATTGAAAGTTTCCCATGGCTTGTGTAGGTGTCTTTCTGTGTCATTACTTCTTTTTCTGTTTAATTGGGGCTTAAAGAAAATCTTCAAGTATCTAAAGTAAAATTGGCTTAGGAATTTCTGTGAAAGTGAATCTCCCCTTTCTAGGGGTCTCTTCCTAGGAGGTCCCCTGCTTTGCATTGTCACCCATCTAAGGCTGACAGCAGAAATTTACTAAAAGAGAGGTAGGCAGAAAAGAGAGCTGACAGCCCACTAAAACTTATTGAAGTTCTCTGTGAATGCAATACAGGTAAGACTTATTAGTGAGCTCTTGAGACAGAAATCAAACTTGGAAATAGATATTGACTCTGCCAGCATTAGTTCCCTAGTCTAATTCTGAGGAGATGGAACTTGAAGAAATGTTGGTCTCAGAAAGATACATTAACACTAATAGGTCATTCTACAATCTGGAAAGGAAATAAAATACCAGGTATAAAAAGCTGAATCTTATCTACAAAATGGAGCGTCAAAGTATAACACACACAACCTCAAAAAGATATCCTCTTACCATGAGAATGTTCCTTTTTCAAAAGGTCAGAGTAATGTGGCACACCACATTACCAGGGCAATCCTACAAAATGAGCCTGTGACATGGCGTATTTTTAATTTTATGCAACTATTCCAGTTATGAATAATTGTTCACCTCATTGCACTTTGGGTACTCATGATAAGCTCCAGCTTTAATGACATGGCAGAAGCACGAAAATGTAAGGAGAAGAGACTGGAGTTATGGACAGAATCAAATAAATACAGTATTGTTGTACTGTACATGGGTACAGGTATGTTCTTGTGTGATAATCCAGGCTACTGTTGGATAAATCCATTAGACATGAAGAGATTTAGCCTTATATTACATGCCTAATAAAAATAGAGAGCATGCATGAAGGATGGGAAGGGCAAAGGGCTGTTGTGAGGGAAAAACACACATACTCCCCTCATGTTGATCCTCCAAGTCGCTTCCTTTTTTAGGTATTGTGACTGTCTGATAGTCAAACATAAACTGGTCCTCCATGGTTTGCCTTTAAGCACCTCTTTAAAGCTATCCACTACAGGGTAGCCAAAGTGAATTGCTTGTTTCTGAATTTATTTTAAAAGTGGGAAAAAGAATTATTCTGCTTAGAACTGTAATGACACTGAGGGAGGTGAGGATTAACCTTCCCCTTCCAGGGCATTATGAACTGCATTTACTGCATTTGAAAGCGCTCCAAGGAAACACTCCAAATTATCTTGTCTTTTCTCATTATCTAGGCCCTGGCAAATCCATTACACATTGCTAGTGTTTATATGAAGGATCATTAAAATGTCACCCCTCTTCAGCAATGAGACAATATAGCCCATTTCCTCTGTGGAGTATTTTGTAACCTCATTTTGCACAATGTGCATCATTGGGAGTATTTACAGTCAATCTGGGTTCCTACATCATGAGAGTTCACCTTTCAGAGGAACATAGTAAAGCTGGGCAGGGCAAGAAGTTTTAAAACTGATGACGATAATAAGCTAACTACTCAGTTAAAGAACCAGAACTCTTCTGGAAGTTTTTAGAGCTATGTCGATAACATTTGTACTATTCATTTCCAATTTGACCCATGTCTCACGTTCCTAGAAAGGAAAATACATGAACTACAACAGGAACAGCAGACAATAATTTCCAGGGGTCCAAATGCATGGTGAGTTCATTTCTTTTCTGACCTTTCCTTCTGGGTTCTTTCATAAGCTCCACCGCTTCCTCCCGAGATTTGGGACTTAGCTGTTGACCACTTTCCAGGAATCGTTTTGCAGTCTCGTCGGTGTTGGAACCTAAGAATGAAAGAACAACCATATATTTCAGTGATAATTCAGATCTATAAACAAAACTCTACATAGAAAAGCAGAATCAGCATAATGACAGCCATTTTGGGGTAGTGGTAAAGGTGCTGGCCAAGAAACCAGGAGATGGTGAATTCTACCCTCCCACTTAGTCATGAAACATGGCTGGCTGACTTGAGTCAGTCATTCTCACTCAGCCCAACAGGACTGTTGTTATGGGGGGAAAAGGAAGTGGGATATAGGCTTTGAATTTTATGTGTACAGTATGTGTATGTATAGATATTGCAATATAATTTCTTACTTCGAGAACGAATATTGTTGCTTTTACTTTCCTTAATAAACAAAGATCCTAATTCTCATTATTGAGGATTACTGTATTGTTGTATCTAATTTCCTACCAGTATTTGACCTGTTTCAGTTTGCTTACCAACCAAATTACTCCACAGAGGATGCTATTTCTTCTGTTTTCCATCTGAGCTCGGAGCAGTTAAAAGAAAGAAATACTCATGTGCATTTGTTGTTTGTTGACTTCAGTTTGGCATTTAATACAATCATTCTCCAGCATCTAGTAGACAAACTAGGCCTTTTAGACTTAAACACGCCTTTGTGCAACTGGATTCTTGATTTTCTTACTAACAGGCCCTAGTATGTGTGAGCTGGAACAAGTATTCCTAGCACCATTTTCTTGAGCACATGTTCTCCTCAGGACTGCATCCTAAGTCCACTGCTGTTCACCCTGTTGACCCATGACTTTGTGCTAGATTTGCCACCAACCATATTGTGAAGTATGCGGACAATACAACAGTAGTGGGCCTTATGCAAGATGACAGTGAGGGCACTTACTGCAAGGAGGTTGAGGATTTGGTGAACTGTTGTAAGAAAAACAGCCTAGTTTTAAACATTGGAAAAACCAAAGAGATCATTGTTGATTTCAGAAAAGGCAGGAACAGCCACACTCCTCTGTGCATCAATGATTCACCCGTGGAGATGGTTACCAGCATCAAATTCCTGGGTGTGCAAATAACAAGTAGACTGGCTTAATCTCTCAATAGCGAGACACTGGTGAAGCGGGCACAGCAGCGCCTGCATTTTCTGCATCGCATGAGAAAAGTACATCTTTCTTCCCCCTTACCACTTTCTACAGAGGGACGATCAAGAGCATCCTGTCATACAGCATTACATCACTGCTTCAAACAGGAAGGCCGTACAGAGAGTAGTGAGGATAGCAGAAAAAAATATTGGCAGTTCTCTCCCTTCCATCCAAGACATAGCATATAAGCATTACTTGAGCAGGGTCTGCAAGATTGTCTGGATCACTATACATCCTTTTCACAACCTGTTTTCCTTGTTTCCTTCTGGGAGGAGGCTTCGTACTGTCCAAAGCAGAACATCCAGATTCAGTCATAGTTTTGTTCCATACAGTATTAACCATGTGAACTCTAAAACTTTCTCTTTCCATTGTGTATTCAAGATGAACAGTGATTAATATTTATATGTTATTTATATATAAGGGTGTACGTTTACACATATATTGTATATAGCATGTTTAAATGTGTGTTATGTATGTGTACACTTTGAGAGCAAGCAACTAGATTTCATTTTTAATGTGTGCCAATGTGCCCTTAGTAAAAAATAATAAAGGTTATCTATCTATTACTGGTGAATATGCTATATAGAGGGTCTTTCCTGAAGCAACCAAAAATCATTCTGAAACTAGCTCTTATTTTTATTAATTTTTTTACCCTGCCTTTATATACCCATACAGATACACAGTTTATAGCACAAGGCTTACAAATTCCTCAAAGAACATGTTTATTAGTTACAAAGTATCGGCATGTCAAAAGTGAAACCAAGTCTAGAGACAAACATAACAATTCCCCAATACAAAGTTAAAAAATCCCACCCCTAAATCTATGCAAACAACTACGTTCCCCAATACATTTTCTTGGCGGGCTTTTTACGCAACGTCCAGCCTGCATTCTTGGGAGCAGCTGATGACTTTGGTTCCCATGGGATAAAAGATTATTTAGACTAGTAAAACACCTGGGCAACCCCCTTCCCTCCATTCTATGTGGCAACCGAAAATGAGTAGGAAAAAATGGCTGTAGCCATGCTCATTTGTAGAGTTGACACACACACACACACACACACACACACACACTTAAAGCAAGAAATTATATTGCACTAGATACATATCTACCAACACAGGGGATCTCAACCCCTGGATTGCAGTCCATTCAGAAGTGGGGCACAGAAGCAGCAAGCAAGCATGCACGTGTAGCTCCACTTGCGCACACAGTGGGTAGGTGATCATGCGCACATATGGAACCATCCACTCTCCTCTCCCCCACTGTTCTGCAAACCCAGAAAGATTGGAGACCACTGCATCAACATGACACCTGTGCTTCAGGCCAACAATGGCTCACTCTTTGATTTGAGTGCTGGTTCTGACCTATTAAAGCCCAATCTTTACTTCCAGGATTGCTTCCTCCTCCTCCCAATTCAACCCAAACAATATGGATATCTTGGGAGAACCTGCTTATGATCCCCAACTTTTGTAAGATAAAGAGGAGAAGGAAATAGACATGCATTTCCTGTGCCTGAACCTACACACCCTTCTCACTAAAATTTGATGTGTCCCAGCTTCCCAAAAGCTATTAAAAATTGAGTTGTTTGGTTAATGGACTGTCTAAGATGGCCAAATTGACTACTTTGATTAAAGATAACAATTTGACTGTTTTTTATTCCTGCATTGGCACCATCTTTGGATTTTATGCTTGATAAAGATAAAAATGAAGTTTTGACTTGGGGTTTCATAATTAGATATATTTTGTCTACAGCAATATTGTGTATTGTTGAAGTTTAATAAATATGTCATTTTTTGTTTTTATATGTTGGATATTATGTGTATTTGTGGAATTGTTACTACAGTTCATTTATGGGTTGCTTTTTGTTTTTAGCCTAAGAAATCATACCATGTACTGTTGTTATTTTTTGATTGTTTGACGTGTAGTTTTGTTTTGGAGAACTTTGGGGACTTTTTAAATATTGTTTTTATTTACTTTTATTGTGGACTGTATTTCAGTTGATGTATGTGAACAAACCAGAGTCTTTTTATTGGAGCAGTTTACAAATCATAGGTCGGTAGGTAGGTAGGTAGGTAGGTAGGTAGGCAGGCAGGCAGGCAGGCAGGCAGGCAGACAATTTTCCTCACAACAACAATCTTGAGAGTGGGTTGGGCTGGGAGAGAGTGACCTGCTCAAAGTCACCCATCAGCTTTCATGCCTAAGGCAGGACAAGAATTCTTATTTTCTTGGTTTTTAGACCAGCACCTTCATCATTATACCAGACAGGCTCTCCTATACCTATAACTCTGTTTCCATGGGATTTTTCTTTTTGTTTTATTTTCCCTAACTTAGTCAAGGAGTAATAGAAAACTTCAGGGAACAGAGGGGGGGAGAAGAGAAGTGTGTTGCAAATAATAAAACAAGCATTGTAACACAAACTTTATCCTTTTTCTACCTGTGTTTTGGAATCACTTGCACAACAGGCAAGGGGTAGAGCTTCCATTATGAGACTCATTTTGTCTTTCTGATAAAACTATCATTTTTTGCAGACTTTTTTTTGCAAGGAACTTCATAGTGGACATGATAATGGCAAGATATGATATAATCAGATTTGATTTTAAAACAAGATTACTGAAGTTGCAAAACTTATTCAGAGTGAAGCCAGTGTTTCTTACATCACTGAGTTGGTACCAAAGTGGGAGACATACAGTAGCTGCCCAATTAACCTTGCATTTACTTTCATGCAATATTGTTGTTACTATTTGCTATGCTGTTGCCATTTTTAACCCATCTCTCCATTCCTAGAATTAGTTTTTGATTCTAATCCCAAAATATTGCACAGGGCTCATGAAAAATATTTCCAGTCTACATTCGTGCATGATCTGAACTAGTTCCTTCAACAGAATCCTACTGGGGATTTCCTCCTCCATATGTACAATGAACATATCACAAACAGTCAAATATTCTCCCATGCTATATAGATTCATGTTCTGCTGTGTTTCAAAGGCACTTCTTGTCATTAGTAAGAGCTCTTACGTCCCCCCTAACTGCATGGAACTATATGAATTTGAGGATGCATTTCATTTAGCCTTCCCACATATGCAGCTTCATCATACCCAAAGCCGGTGAACCTTTTGCCTGAATAGTTTCAGGTTCTCCGGATAGTATTCCATAGGTTATGGCAGACAAACAAACACTTAACTAAGTGGTCTCACCAGCAACGGCATCAATCATTATCTTCATCTTTAGCTTCAGAAGTTCCGTCAGGAGATGTATGGACCGTTTCTGGAATTTCACGAGCATCGGCTGGTTTTCAAGTGAAATCATATAATTAGCTCTCTTCCCTGAGGGTGTAGCACCCAGCTTTTGACTTTTTGATGTAGTTGTGGAGGTCAGCTCAGCCTCGTCATAGGGGAGGAATTTGACAACTGGACAATATAAACCTGTGAAAGATTTTTTGGGCGGTATCTCTATGAGCTCATCCCAGGTGAACTCAAATATGTTCCTGACACCTCGTGGCACATGGAAGCCCCTTTTCTGCCATGTGATAAGCATCTGTACCATATCGGCCAAAAGCTTTGGCGCCTTGGCTTTCATTTGCTCAAAATCAAGATTTTTAAATTCATCCATCTTGCGCTCATCTTTCGGCTCATCTTTCTGCTCAGCTTTCTGTTCAGCCTTCTGTTCAGTTTTCTGTTCAGGTTTTGGTTCACTCTTAAGATCATTCTTATGGTCAGATTTATGTTCATCCTTTTGATCAACCTTTGGACTACTTTTTGTGTCAGACCTTTGGTCATTCATATCACCAGTTCATTCATTTCATCGTTGATGTAGCAACATCTAAATAAGGAGAACAATATATAAGAAATATCTCTGTGCTGTTATCTTTAGGACTAACATATCATTTGATAAGTGAATGATGTGCTAATCTGTCTCTTTCAAAATGTGTTCATTCTTTAATATCCTATCTTCAGTACAAAGAATTCAACAGAGCATAAAGAACATTTCCCAAATTGTCTTCCATCCAAACAGTGGGCATATCCAGATTACTTTGCATCAGCCATATTGCTTTTTCTTCAAAACATGCCATGGGAACTGCATGGAATTCAGTACCTGCTCAGAGACTTAGCATTAACCAAACTACAATAAGGAGGTTAAAAAGGTAAAAAACAGAATAGAAAAGATTTGTAAGTGTTTTTAAGTGGTAGAAAGATATAAAGGAGTGAGTCAGTAAAAGATTTACTAAAAACTGGGTATAAGAAGAACCTAGGAAAAGAATAATACAGTGACTCAAGGGTATGTATTCTGGACAGATGCAAAGATCCCAAAGCTTAGGCAAAAGCACCCAAATCCATCTAAACTAACATAGGATTCAGACCAAGATTAATTGTAATCTATGGTACAGAGTAAGCCAAGACCCTTTCATATACAGTTCATGGTTCTGTCCCCAGCATAGTATAATAATATTCAGTCAAAACAATCAGCAATGCTGTGGTGTTTTCTAACAAATGCTGACTCCTACATTTTGCACTGTTACCAGATCTGGATGGCAAAAATCCAGATGACCATGAGGTGTTAGCAGAGAGTTAGATTGTTCAGCATCTCTTTGCTACCATCTAATGCAGGGGTCCCCAACGCCTGGTCCATGGACCAGTACCAAGCCCTGGCATGTCAACAACTGGTCCACACAAACCAGCAAAGCCTCATCCAAGAGATGCTGGCAGCACATAAAACCATGCACACTTCGGTCCATGGAAAAACCTCTCTCCATAGAACTGGTCCCTGGTGCCCAAAAGATTGGGGACCTCTGATCTAATGGACATTACCCAGGGTTGGAGTTGTAGAATCATCTTAGAGGGAATTGATCATGGTAAAGCATGGAGTCTGACATTTGAGCAAGGAGCTTGAATAAGAAGATATGCAATGCAATAGTGATGAATATCTGTAGCTCAGGTGTAGGATGAGGGTGAAGGTTCATTCTCAAAGCTTGTGGATTGTTTTCCAAATATTTCGTTACCAGGCTAGGTAACATCTTCAGCAGAGTTCTGCTGAAGATGTTACCTAGCCTGGTAACGAAACATTCAGAAACCAACCCATAAGCTCGGAGAACGAACCTTCACTCTCAAGATATGCAATGGTTAAGAATGGAAGTATCTCCGAGAAATAAAATGCGGCATTAGAAAGGCCTTAAGTCTCCACATCAAAAGCAGCCCTTTTTCTTTTAATTACCTTTGGGCTCATCAGTAAGAAGTACCAAGAAAGTCCATATTTAAGTGTGACAGATAAATTACCATTGATTTAATTAGAAAATAGAAACTGAAGGATTTTCTTAATTAGAAAGTATATTTTCAACTGGAACTAATAACCTGTCAGTCTAAGCTTTATGTCAGTTGGGTTTCTACGGCAGACTAGACTTGATCACCTAAGAAGTGAAATGGCTCACTAAATCCAACCTCCTACCCAGAAATCTCTATTTTGTGGTTAGGGCTCATTTTGTTTAGCATTTCTAAAGACTCTACATGTGATCATGTGTTCTTAGAACAGGGGTCCCCAACCCCCGGTCCATGGAGCAGTACCGGGCCAAGGCATGCCAGCAACCAGGCCGCACAAACAAGCAAAGCCCTATCTGTGGGATGCAGGCAGCACACAAAACCACACACACTCATGAATCACATTCCAAAACCAGTTGCTTGGATACTCCTTTACCATGTTGTGGAGAGGTTAAACAATACTAGAAATAAACTTTAGATATATTTGTTCTAAGATCACATTGAACTGAAAAGGACGAAGTGAGGGAACTTCAAATGTTTCAGTCATCGGCATGGACTAACACAGAACTAAGAATCATGGTGGCTTAAAGATGTTGGAGATGGACTTTGCTCCAGTGGTTTGAGTGGCAGAGTAGTTCCCATCACTTGCCTCAGCTTCTGCCCACCTAGTAATTTGAAAGCATCTTACATGCAAATAGATAAATAGGTACAACTTTGGTGGAAATGCGGTGGCATTTTGTGTGGATGATGGGACCCTGCTGGTGCTGGACCTGCCCGTATATGGTGCCCGATTGCAAGGCAACATTGGTGGTGGGAGAAGGCCCCAGTTGATGCTGCAGGATGCTGCTCATCTTTCTGATACGGAGCTAGTTTGCCTCCTGTGGTGCACCCTGAATAGTGTGCAAGTGCAAACTAAACAGACTAGCCATCTTCAGCAGCCAAATAAATACATTATATTAACACTGTAGTCTGCTGGCTAACTGTAACATTACCATATGTTAAATAAATAAGTAAGTACAGAACTGATACCAGTAAGGAACATAACAGAAAAACCAGCAGACACAATGAATCCCTTGAGATCCACCGTTCTTTCCAGCTTCCATAACAAGACCAGGGAGAGTTGCATTTTCAGCTGTGTGGCTTTAAAAGATTAAGCAAGAAGAGGGCATTCACACACACCCAGGGGATCACAAGCTGGAATCTAATGTTCAACAAAAACAAACCTAAGTGAAATCTCCATGATTTCACATTAAATCTAAAATTTCAGTGAAGGAGACTTTGAATTATTACCTGTTATGAGAATGATGTTCTAATAGTCACAGCGTTAGGTGGGTGATACGGCAGCATCCTGCATTCCATATGCCAGTATTCATTCTTATGTCATAGTAGCAGAGAACCCTATCATTCTAGATTTTTTTTGGTATAGAGTTTTCTTCACCTAAAGGCTAGTTAGGATTCATATGTTTTTATAGTGAAAATGAAGAATTGGTTTTGGAACTTCTATTAGCTATTTCTAGTACAAAGAGCAGTCTCCCTGCTGCTTCAAATTAAAAATAGAGAGGAACGCAAAGGGCATGCAGCGTCATTATGGGTGGTTATATACAATTCAAATAGCCATAAGGCTTCATTAATGTGAATGTCTGCAAACTCTTTCCACAAAATGGAGTGACTACTCAACCACCCATCTGGAAAAAAATTCCAGGGGTAGCATTTGTTGATCCTGTACTTTAGTGAGGAAGGCACAGTGTATTTACAAACAGTTCTCTCTTCATTGTACAATCCCCTCTGAAGCAGCCTTTCGACCTTTTTGGCTTCCCATGCTCTCATGTAATCCTAGTGGAAGATATCATGTAGGGAGTCCCCCCCCCACTGGTTTGTTTTGGGGGTTTTTTGGCAGCAGCCCTGTTGTTACTGATAAAGAGGAATTATGTCCTTGAGGAATTCTTGAAAGTTATTGCACCTCATAAATTTGATGGAGAATTTCTAGGGACCATTTGTAGACTTGTAGTTTGAATGATAAGTTTCCAGACTGTTTATCGGTATCTTTGGGTGATAAGGCAGGGAATAAAAGGATTGCTTAAAATAGCAATAGCACTTAGACTTATATACCACTCCACAGTGCTTTACAGCACTCTCTGAGCCGTCAGCATATTCCCCCAACAATTTGGGTCCTCATTTTGCTGATCTCAGAAGGATGGAAGGCTGAGTCAAGCTTGAGCTCCATCAGGACCAAACTCCTGGCTGTGGGCAGAGTTTGCCTGCAATATTGCATTCTAACCACTGTGCCACTAGGGCTCATAAAATCTTGGAAACTAGCACCACTCCGGTTAGATAAATTTCAGGTTAAGACTGATGGCCTAACACAGTATAGGATAGCTCCATCTGTATCAAAAGTTTGTGAAAAGTCTGTAGAGACAGAAGTGCACATTTTGCATGCAATCTAAAACAGTGGTGGCAAACCTATGGCACGGGTGCCAGAGGCGGCACTCAGAGCCCTCTCTATGGGCACGCATGCCGTCACCCCAGTCCTAGGCCTTCAGCTGGGTTTTATAAAACCTTTTCGCTTTAGGCCTCCATTGCTGTGTGCAAAAAAAAAAAAAAAAAAAAGGTTCAATGAGTCAATTTCAACTTCTCGCAGAAAAAAAAATCTTGCAAAGTTGGAATTGATTGATTGAACTTTTTAGTCTCACCCAGTCTGCCGTTACCACCACAGCCACGCCCAGCCAATGGGCCACACCCACCCGGCACCCGGCGATACTAAGTGGGTTTTGGGTTGCAGTTTGGGCACTCGGTCTCTAAAAGGTTCACCATCACTGATCTAAAACATTTCTAGGTTAAGATTGTGAAGAACTTCTGATTAATTTAGCCCACTGGGAGACCTCTCAGCAAATAATTCGGATCTCTTTCCTTGGAAGATACATTGAGCAAAAGGAAAGGTAAGAGGACAAAGAAAAAGAGAGCGAGAGTGAGCGAGAGAGAAATCTCTCCTAGACAACTCATAGGAACTATGTTCCTCAAAAGAAATAATAATGTGTATGCCCTTCAAGTCAGTCTTGTGTAAGGACCCACCCCACTTTGCATCTTAAGAAGACAGAACTCTTGGAATAGCTCTTCCAACAGGAATCCTTTATTAAGAGAAAATGGTTGCAGGCATGCTAGACAGGACTTGGGGTTCAAGCTCTCCCATTCAAGGTTTTAAGGGGTTCCCCAGTAGTCCCACCCAATCAACCCCCCTTCCAGTGATAGTTTCAAGTATCACAATTCCATCCCCTTTCTTCTTCCGTCTGGATGGAGACTTCAGATAACTACATGAAAGGCAATTACTCTTCTTTGATATGTTAACGCTTAGAGGCCACAATAAACACACATTCAGTCCTTTGAAGTGTGCTGAAGGAAGTGAGGGCCATCAAGCCCCTTTGCTCTCCCCCTTTTCTCCCTCTTATGGCAGAATCCAGAGAAGGCAGAATTGGGAGTTTCTATGTTTGATAATTAAAGATGAAATATAATTGGATTCTGACATCCGGCCCCTCTTAACAATAAGAGAGATCCACCTGAAAGAAAACACA